AAAATTTCTTTTTACTTGGAACGAAGTTTAATTTGTAATGTATTTTCCATGTTGTTCGATGACCTTTTGCCATCTCTCTGACAACTTGAAAATTCCACGCTCGTAGAAAGTCTGATCCTTTTCGGCCAAAAACCGAGTCAAGTGAGATTTTATAGCGTCATCGTCGTTAAAAGTTTTACCACGAAGGGAGTTGTCCAGGGATCGAAATAAGTGGTAATCCGATGGCGCGAGATCAGGGCTATATGGTGGGTGTAACATCGATTCCCAACCAATATCCATCAATTTTTGCCGAGTGGACAAAGACGTGTGCGGCCTAGCATTGTCCTGCTGGAAAATGACACCTTTACGATCGACCAATTCTGGTCGCTTTTCCTTGACCGCTGCATTCAATTTGTCCGGTTGCTAACATTCACGAATAATAAAAAATAACATAATAATAATAATAATAATAATAATAATTTTATGATATAACATTTACGGATATCATAAAAATGGGAGTGAGAGACATCTATAACTGAAATCGGCAATTACTTAGTTGCCAACCCAATAGTTTGTCGGCGATAGCGAAGATTGGTTTATCATGAATTTTTAGCGTTGGTCCTGGCTTGGTTGATGATTTTGTTGTCGGCGGTGTTGATATTGTTCCATTGCGAATTATATGATACACTGCAGTGGGCTATTCGATTGCAGGGAACAGTCACATTATGGTCTTAACAGTGCACCGATTGCATAGTATGTTCAGGTGCGACGCATCGAAGCCTGACGACCTTATGTCAGTGCCACCTGAACTTCCGCGACGAGTGATTGCTGCGATCGCAGAGATATATACTCTGAAATATTGTGGTAAATCCAAATGCAACACTTCGAATTTCATTGCAGCATGTACGTAATTAATAAATGAGAAACATTGACAGATCGTGGACGAAAGAGACGTCGATCCCAGATTTTCAGTTTCATTGGTGAAATTAAAGAAATTTGTGTAATGTGCAGTCGATTGAAATTGAAATAAAATGTTATTCAACTGAATTGAAATCTAGAGTTTAGTAGTTTCGAATGATTTTTGTGCTTTTTGCGCGAAGTGCGAATGTATTTCACGATTAACTGATATATATATTAATAATTATTGTAGAACCTGTGTAGAGTGTATAGAAATATGGACAATTTTAATATTTTCTACAGTGTTTTCCGCTGTTCTAAATTCTCTCGAGTTCTCTAAATTGAATCGCTCTAGGTATGTTTATTAAAAAATAGTTCTGTATCCTGTAATAATTGAAAGGTATGCACGAACGCTTCAGAAGGTGTGGAAGAATTCCATAACAAGAGCAGCATAGCAATTCGCTTGCAATAGAGGAAGGATGATTGCAACTGCTTACGTCATAGAACAAAAATCACAGTGACGAGTTGCTGGATTTAACGGGACATTTTAGTGCCGTCTTAAATAATTGATTAGGTAACACTGAAGATGATCACCGTAATTTGAATTTGCCAATCGAGTACATGTTGCCGCATGTATTAGAAACATTAACGAACGTTGCTCTAATACACCGATCCCACTCGCGTACTTTCAATTGTTTTAGATATCTTTCATTCGATTTTTCAATAATCTGGAGTACAAAAATATTTTACAACCTCGATTAGGGGGTGAGAAAAATTTTCGATCGTGTAGATTCCAAGAAAATAGCAAACTTAAGAGTAAGTAAATAAACGTAAAAATATGCGAACTATGTTCATAAAATTTATTTACATAGTTTGCAGCTTCACGAACAAAAAATTGCTCACAGAAAATTTTTCGAACGAAGATCGAACCTACCCTAAGTTTTCTTCGACATTTTTACGTTCAATTACAATAACCTGTCATACAAAAATACGAACTATCAAGATTTCGATAGACTCTGCACTATCAACATTACTCATTGTACATAATTGTTTACGTTATTTTTACATTTACTAATAATTACGTTATTTTTAATTATTTATATCATTCTATTATTATCACGTTATTTCTTCATCGAATAGAACCGTGGCCGCCACTTAAATCCCACTCTTTATATAATAAATCCCAAGACAATTGTAACGTCTAACCAAACAACTTATTTGTCCATTAAATACGACTTTGACCGCCGCGAAAATTCCATTCACGATTGCACAGACTCTAGAATCACGAAAAAAATGCGCGCGAACGATGCACGAAGTTGCTTCCCATTTTCCACATCCCTGGGAAACTCCGAAGAAAATCTTCGATCCCGGCGATCCCTTCTCCGCGTCGAGAGGGAGAGGGTTGAAACGTCGCCGACCTTCGCTGAAATCTGTCCGAGATGATCTCGGTGCTCGCGAAAAACGTTTCGTTCTCTCTGCGTCTCATAATCGGGTCGCGTGTTTTTCGTCGTCGTTACAAAAGAATAGGTGTTCCTTAACGACCGATTCGAACGCAACACACCGGGGAGGGTCCTGTTTCCACCTGCCCCATTATCGATCGTGCACGAGGTAACGAACCTTCACAATTTTATGGAACTCACGAAACCACGCCGCGGTACCAGGAAAGGATCAAAGGCCGTGCAATCCGTAATACACTATTCAGGGGGGACTCTATCGTCGGGACTATATGACTTTTCTACACAGTATACGCTGCGAACCAGCGAAGCTCGTCGACCTTACGGCAGTGCCACACAAGCTGCCGCCTCGAAAGGTGGTCGCGATCGGCATACAGACGAGAGACAGTTGCTGTGTAGCTCCGCGGCGTTCATTTCACGGTTCACTCGGATCCTCGACGGTGGCAACGCGAGTGTGTCGCAGATCGCCGAAATCGTTCCTCTTCTCGATCCTCGTGAATCCACGTACACCTGTTCGCGGGACAGTGAACTCTCGATAGAAACCCGTTCGCGCGCCACTCGGATGCCATCCGCGGAAAAATACGATCGGAAACCTGCTACCGGTCCCGGCGACGATTAAACCAGGCATTTTCCGTTCGCTGGATCATGTAATAACATCGAAGGGGATCGCTCTATCGTTCGCTATTCGACCGCCGATTCGTGATCCGTGTGCTCGCGAAAGATTTCTTTTTTTTTCGAGGATCGTCCGTCCGGAGATCGTCGCGCGAGAAAAAAGTGAAAAGTTAAATTGCTTCGCGCACTCTCTCTCTCTTTCCCTCTTCCTCTCTCTTTCTCTTTCTGTCGCTCTCTCTTTCCAGGCTTCTGTTTCCAGGACACGGCGCAACAAGCCGAAACAGGGCGTGAAGATAAATACCGGGCTTCGTAATTGCGGTAATTCCTCAATGGAAATTAATTTCTAACCGACCAACCAATCGGCGGCTTTCGCGGATACGTCCGATCTCGCGGATATTAATCGCCGATTAAACGAACGCGACTGTTCGCGCACGATTCTGCTTTCGTGGAAGAAACATAGTAATCGCGCACCCTCTTCAAATTTCCACGATAATGAACCGAGGGGGAAAGCACCGCGGCGAGGTAAATTGCAAAAGTGTCGGCGGCGATTCGATCGAGAGAAGAATGGATTTTATAATAACGAATAGCTTGAAAACGCTGCTTTTTGAGGAGGGCAGGAGGGGAGGGGAGATAATAGCTCGGACTTGTGACTTATTGTGACTCGGTCGTTCTCAAAATGGCCTCCGGGTTAATCACGCAGTACCGCGAACTGTGTCGCGTTAATATTTGATTTCGAATCAGTGCGATCTTAGGGTGGCGAGTTCAACGAAATACGATACGATTTTTCGTCTCGTCGATCCGACGAGCCTCGCGCGGTTCATCGCATCGGAATTTCGAAGGGAGAATGTTAACGAGGGAGCCGTTTCGGAGGCTAACGGGAGGCAGCAACGATTTGAGGCAGGTCGGAACGGTTCGGCCGTGTCCCGGGTGAAAGGGGAGCATTGTCGCGAATAAAACCGGCTTCATTCAGCTTTTCCGATGAAATCCCGATTACCCGTACGGCAGGAATCTCATTTGAATAACTAAACTCGCCCGTGAATAAATAATTAAGCCGTTGAATCGAGCCGGCCGCGCAAGGATCGCGGACCGTGACGTCGCCGTCCTACTTGCGTTCTCAATTATCAAGTACAGATTACCGTCCCCGCCGTTCTTTACTGCGCGATAGTAGATTGTTCTGTTCTCCTTCGTGACACGGGAGATGATTCATTACGGACGGCGGGGGTAAACAGAAAACAGAGTCCCCATTAAGCTGATGGCGAAGATGAGGGAACGCCGCGGCGACGCGCCGCGCCCGTTCGAAATGCTCGATTTCTCGGATATCGAGTTCGACGGTATCGATTATTACGAACAAATATATATATATATATATATATATATATATATATATATATAACTGTATGTGTGTGTATATACGAGCGGAGAGAAACGATCGCGGCGATCTTTTATAGCGCGGAGGAAACGCGGACCGTAAAATCGCCGAGGGTTTGCGGTAAAATCAGATCACTACTAAGTTTACACGGCAGTCGTCACTTGCGGACACGGGGCATTAACAATAAGTAGGCCAAGTAGACTTATTAGACTCGAAGAAGGTTTTGCTAATCGAGCCACTGCCCATTACGCTGTCCACGGCGATACTTGCTCGCGGATTGTTCTTTACCAGCCGCGCGAGATCCGCCTTCGCGTCGAATTGACCGCTCGCGAATTTCTGTCCGGTCGTCGGTTAGGGCAATTAGCGCGATTATTTATATACCGCCACGCTTTCGAGCGTTTCGCCGAAAAATTCGCCACGAAAGCCACCGGCATTCGGTTTCACCCGGCAACAGTCTTCACGGTAATTTCCGCGCGTTATTGCGAAACACGAAGATCGTCCGCGTCGATCGCGAGATGCGAAAATCTACGCGGACGTTTCGTTCCGTCTTCCGATGATTTCCGAGCGAGTTCCACGCGATGCAGCGGTGCTTTCGAATGTATTAAATGGCCCAATTAGTTCCGCAGTTTGTCTATCAGTCGCTTTTGTCGCGAATGCATAAAATTCGCGACAGACATTCGATCCGTAGCGCAGTTTTGCGCAAAGTAAACGTTGCTTGCAAGTCACGGCAGTTAGGTGAACAATGGTTTCAGACAAGTGTAATTGTTAATAGCGCTTTCTTTAATTAAATTCGTTGGACGTTTCTATCGTTTCGATCAGCGCCATTTCCCCGGCAACATTGTTTTAAGATTCGCGATCTGGTTTCACAGATTTTCAACGTTCCAAAAAATCGCTCGATTTCGAATGTCCGCGGATCGACAATTTATGGCGCGCAGGATCTAATCGTTTCCTTCGGGATCATTCGTTGAGAGACGCTTGCGATGCTTTTTCTGCATCGGACGCCGTTATCCGAGAGTCTGTTCCGAAGTAGGTGATCGCACGGATCGCATCCGTTCGCTCTTTAAAGAAGTTCTAAGAGGAAGTCCCATAAAAATTCCTCGGGAACAAATACTCCCACGGACCAAGGCACTCTTTCGAGCAACATAGCTCGTTGCAAAGATAAGAGAACGTTTCTGCTCCGTTTCCAAAATATTGCATCGCAATATTTGAAGACGTTCTCCGGAGAAAAAAATCGTATTCCGCGACAAAACGAGAGACAAATTCGTTCCAGCCGGTGCCGGCCGGGGCGACGCGTTCGGTGCTAATTTCTCAGGCTCGAACGTGCGGTTTTAGCAGAAGTCACGTAAACGATTAGCGGGGCCCACCAGCCGCGTACCCGATAAGAGGGAAGCAAACGTCGCCGTAGATTCGGCACGGTTGCAAAGTTAATAATCACGTCGCGAAGTGTCTAGGCTCTTCCTCGGAACCTGTTTCTCGCGCTCGCCGGAGGAATTATGCAAGCCGGCGTAGCCTAGCCTCTCTGTGTGCGTGTGTGTGCGTAATCCGCGCGCACATCTGCACTTTCACGTTCGCTCGCATATTTCGCGTCTATCCTTAACCTTGGTGCACCATAAACTGTAGCGCGCTGTACAGGAACCGGCTCTCCGCCGGCTCTCTCTCTCTCGCGATTCTCTCGGCTCGCCAATTTGTTTACAGGACCCGTTTCGTCGGGTCCCGCGAGAGATTCTGCTTTCAGCGTGGCCGCGTCACGGGATTGTTATTAACAATTTGATTGGTAAATTGCTCCTCAGGGATGCGTGACATCGGCGCCGATGTTGACCGAAGGACGTGACATCATACGGCTGCCCACGTATCTCGGGGTTCTATCGATTATATAAGCCCGAAGGACGCAAGGATAATTTTGTTCTCTATATCCTTTCTGTCGCGTTTCCTTCTCTGTTTTTTTTTTCATTTTTTCATACGCTGCTCCGAACAATCCTTTCGCGGTTACATAAGACGCGCGAGTTCGCGTTCGCGATTCGCGGCGCGGCGCGGCGCGTCGTCGTCGCCCGGCGAAGGAGCATGTGACATCAGCGCAGGAAAATGTAGGTTTAACTTGTAGCCGGGTTTCAGCGAGAGACGAAGCTGCAGCGGCGCTTTATGCGATCGTAAAATTCTATGGGAGTTTGTTGTTCGGCGGCTACCAGTAAAACCGGATCGTTCTTTCGGAAAGAAAAATTCGACCTCGTTGCGCCGGCCTGCCGGTGGAAAGCTTCGCTCGATTTTTAATAAATTTCTCTCTCTCGCTCTCCTTCACTCTCTCTTTCTATTTCTCTCTCTTTCTTTCTCTCTCTCTCTCTCTCTCTCTGTTTCTCTATGTGCGTTTCTCTCTATACCTTCTCCATTTGCAGCGTTTCAGACACGCAACGATGACGATCAAAATGAACGTGTCCCTGTTCCTGCTGGTCGTTCTGGCGAATCTAGCGTACACCCGCGATTCCGACTACTGTTTCGCCGACGAGAACGATCCGTACTTGTACATGGCCACCAAAACAGCCTACCACTTCGTCCACGCCGGCAAAACTCGCTTCCAAGATGTACCGAGTGAGTAAATAAATTAGCTTCCACACGAGAACATGGCCGGACGCTGGCAACTGCATTTCGCGCTATCAAATCGTACGGTTGCGAAACGATCGCATTCGATACGTTTCCGAAGGAAATGCAGTTTCACGTTCTCTGAAAACGCGTGTCTCGTTGCGCTCGATATTTTCGCGCGCGATCGTTGCCGTTGCTGTCGCGTTTAAAAAAAAATGCTCGGACAACGATGAGATGCGACCATAATCGTTGCAATGCTTTTATTTGTTGTCGCGATACCGTAATCGATGTAAAACACATCGGCGTGACCGGTCACTCCAGTTAAGTCGCGTTCTCGTGTCCAGACGTTGTAAAATTGCCGGTCAACAATGCGCTGTTGACAGATGCTCGTACATGGTCGCGCAATGCTAAATCTAAATTGGAGACGCGCCGATTATGGCGACAAGTTGGGCAGCGAGTCGAATGATTCATGAGTCGACGGCGATTGTGAATCGATGAAATAATAAAGGAACAAGCGAATGGACGGGTGAAATATAAATTGACGGGGACTATGATAAAGTAGTCGCAAGAATGCTTGAATAATGTTAAGGAAGTCGAGTGACAAATTGCAGTAAATTCTCTCTAATTGACGCTCAGCTTGGAAGCGAATATAGACAATTTGGGAAAATTATTATAGTTGTCGACGATCGGTGATATTAACTGTATTATAATTGTTGACAATCGGTGATGTTAACTGTATAATTATAAATAGTTATATAGATAGAATATTATATTATATTATAAGAATATAGAAAATATAGAATATTATATTATGTTATAAAAATATAGAGAATATAGAATATTATATTATATTATAAAAATATAGAGAATATAGAATATTATATTATATTATAAAAATATAGAAAATATAGGATATTATATTATATTATAAAACTATAGAAAATATAGGATATTATATTATATTATATCATAGCATATTATATAAATATATAGCTATAAAAAATAATCGTATCTCCTCTTCCCAAATTCTCCACTTTCGTTTCCAAGCTGAGCGTCAATTAGGGAGAATTTACTATACCACGAAAATTACGTCGTTTTGCGACTAATCAAAGCACACGCGAAAGATTGCTTTACTGTCCGAGTACTTCAATGTTCGACTAATCTTTTGCGATCGACGAAACTGATCTGCAATTGTGATCCGCAGATTGCGAGGCGGAGCAAGTCTGGGTGCTCGCGACGCACGGAACACGCTGCGCGTCGAAGTCGGAGATCACCGAGATGCTTTCGTTGACGGAAGTGCAGAGCCAAATAATCAACAACCACGAGTCCCGAGGCAGTAAGTAAATCTCCTCTATTCCTTGATTCGAAGAATCGCGAGCCTGGTCTCCGAGAAGCTCGGCGAACGATTCAGCGTTGACGACTGATAGGTTGCGACTGATAATTTATTCGCGATCATGTTCGAACGATCATGTCGAATGACATCGTTTCGACGATTCTCAGTCGAGGGAACACGGAGGAAAAGTTCCACTTCGTTTGAACGGGTCGGCGCGGGTAAACCAGACCGCAGCTAATTCAGGTCATTGACACTTTTTCGTATCGATCTTTCGCCGCCGCGTCGTTTCACGTGTTGATCAATATATAAGCCCCGTTCACGGCACCGTGCCGTAGATTTATTGATTCCGTGAACTTACCTTTCGAAATTGGAACAAACCGTACTCCGGTGTCACAGTTTACGCCGGGGGTAGTTTTGTGCCCGATGCATAACGTGTCCATAGTAACGCGACCACCGTGTTGATAGCGAGCACCGAAATTAACTGCAACAGCGAGCCGTTATGCTGCGCGAGAATGTTGACAATGATTTGTGAAAGACGATTGTTTGATGATTTTATTTTGCGGTACGGTGTAATAATAAATACAGAATAAAGAATTATGCGAGGGTGCAGAATTGAACGTTTATTCAGATACAATGAATTCTTCCTAATTGATGTTCTGATTTAGACAAGAATTTTAAGGATGTTAGAAAATTGTAAGGTTTTATCTGCAGAAAATTGAATTGAGATTTATGTTTTATTGTTATTTGTCTTAGAATTTAGTGTTGAGTATGAAATACTGAGTATGAAATTGGATTGAAATTACTAGATTTTATAGTTCGTTTTTTAATTTATAGTCTTAAATAATTAAAGGAATTATAGAAATTCATTATATTCTTGTTGGCAAAAATTAGGAGTGATGTCAACTGAATTTAAGTGGATGGTTAAGATTAGTACTGTAGATTTAAGGGTTAGATTTTTTTAAGGAAAGAGGAGTTACGATTATCCGAGCCTCCTCTTCCCAAATTGTCCATTTTTGTGCACAATCTGAGCACAAACTATTCTTCGGTTGATTTTTAATAACTAATTTATTTTACTTTATCATTACTTAATAAATAACTTTTTTATTCTGTGTTCGATAGATTTTCAAGTGGCATGATCAAATGTTGTACATTATAGTTAAAAAAATTCAGAATATTTTTGTAAACAGAGAGAAACGGTAAAAAATCAATTGTTGCCCTGTGTGCTCCTATTTGAACCAACAACTTTCGTCCGAAACATTTCTTTATACAACATGTAGTAAGAGTGATTAGGGTGAAAGGGTTAAATGACTAATCTAACACATAAATCGACAGGAGTTTGTTCTTTGAAATTGAATTGAAATTGCATTGAAACTGAATTGAAATTGAATTTTGGAATTATTCTTTGAACATCCCACGAGTTTTCATTCTGATCACTCTTATCAGGCGCACGATTTTTATTAAACAAAACAAGTAGATAGGATTCCAAAGCGACCGAACAAACTATCTTTACGGAAACGCTGCGATCGGTCTCTATCTCCCAATAAACGATCTATCTATAATCGACCGTGCAAATTGTTTTCAACAAACCGCAACAAAACAGGAGTTTCGTAGCAGCGTGATCTAGCTGCTACAGAAACGAATCGTCGCCAGCACAATTGATTGAATAAATAGTTTTTATCGAGAGAGAGAGAAAGAGCGCGATCCGTAGCAAAATTAGATCCAGCTGGCACCGGAACGTGCCGTGGGCAATTTAATTGACCGGTCGAACGAACAGTTTTCATCGGAACGTGCGACTAAATTGCAACGAACGCCGCATCGGAACGGTTGCACTCCGGGCCGATGCATCCATCGCGTCCATAGAGACGACGTTTCGCAATCGACGGTTGCGTCCATCGTGATTTTGCTTTCGCAGACGGCCACCTGTGCGACCGGGACTTGGAGAACTTGAAAAGATGGAAACCGAACGACTACCTCGTGGTGGGGAGGGCGGAAGTTTTGACACCGCAAGGCGTCGAGGACATGAAATTGCTCGCTGGACGATTGCAAAGCAACTACCCTCATCTTTTGCAACCGGAAAGCGTCGTGCCGGAAAATTACATGGTATTTGATCGCGGCTCCGGATCGGATAACGAGTGAACCACCCCCCGCGAACTCTCTCTGATCGACCGTCCGTTTCCTCTGTTTAAGTTCAAAACCGCGGAGGGCCGCGCCAGCATGGACCAGTTCATCAAGGGGCTGTTCGGCGACGGGGCTGCCATGTTGGGCGAGGAGATCCCTGTGAACGACACGCTGCTCTCCGTAAGTAATTGAGATCGTTAGGACGATAAATACCGTCTTCTGCTAATTCACGGCGGAAAGTTCCGCGGGAAAATGCATCGCTGGCTCATCTCCTCTCGCAGGCTTACAGAACTTGCAACGTGTGGGACAACGACTTCAACAACGTCTCCACCGAGGAGGTCAGCAAATTTGAAGAGGAACCGCAGTTCCAGAGCCTCATACAGAACGTCAGCAGGCGTCTGGGCTTCCTCTACCATATTCCGAAACGTGAGCCCCATAAATATACCCCGCTCGGAGTGGTCGTTGCGTCACGAGAATCGTCGGAGAACTTGACGACGAACTTTTCGGCGACGAGCTCTAATCGTTTCTCGTCGGATTCTCGCTCCGAAAACGATTCGTACGAAATTGCCGAAAACGATTAGAGAACTTACAGATGCTATTTTCAGATAACAATAACCAATTTTTCGTTTGCACAATGATCCACGGTCTAGAATGTCGATGTTATTCGAGTCATCGGAAAGTCCTGAATCAATCTTTGTAAAGCGCCAACATTCTTCTCGACCTTTACGAGGTCATTTTTATGACGTCTCGTCTCGCATATTCTCGAAGAAGCATTTCTACTAGTTGCAGCAAGAAATTTTCTTCCATAGCAACGCGTAAAATCGGCAACTTGCGCGGAGAGTTCGCATCGAAACCGTGCGATTGATCGCTCGCAGTTGAAATCGCATTTCGTCGATCGGCATAAAAATTCTGCGTGGCGCAACCAGTTAACGAATTTCCAATAGCGTGTCCCGTTTCTGTCGGCCGCGACGGTTTTCTAACGTTCCGTACGAGCTTTACAGGAACGATCCTGACGATGTACGACATGTGCCGTTACGAAAAGTCTTGGACAGTGACGCAACTATCGCCGTGGTGCGCCGTTTTCAACAAAGAGGAGCTCCGCGTGCTGGAGTATCGCGAGGATCTCTACTACTATTACAAAGCCGGATATGGACGTGAAATCAATGCGCACTTAGGATGCACGCTTTTGCAAGACATGATGAATCACTTTTGGTAATTTCCTTAGCCATTTTATATATATATATATATATATATATATATATATATATATGTATATATGTATATACGCCCTTTGCGCGAACCTTGTTCCGATCTTTCTTTCGCTGGCGCAACTGGAAATCGCGACGACGAGCGCATATTTTTCGGGACGATGATTCGACCTCGAGCGGAACATCCTTGTCCGTGTTTCGCGCGGCGACGACTTCCGTCGCTTCGAGAAAATTTTCAATATTATCTGAGTTGCGTGAACGAATGCACAGGATGCGCCGTTGCCTCATCCCCGCGGCAACACGATCGCGCCTTTCATATCAACGATATTCACCGATCTTCCTTTCAGGAAAGTGGAGAAGGACACGGAATCGTTGGAGCCCAAGGGGGTGTTCTACTTCTCCGACATCATAAGTCTGCAGAATCTGCTCGCCACGCTGAACATAAACAAGGATCAATCGAAATTGACGGCTTACAATTATGATAGCATGGCGAAACGTCAATGGCGGACGTCCTTCATTTCGCCCTTCGCCGCGAACCTCGTCGCGGTGTTCTACAAGTGAGATACACTTTTAAAAAATCTACGAACGCTTTTATAGATTTCAGTAGGGACGCGTTAATTACCGGACTGCGGGTATTCGGGCGAAATCAGAGATGTTTGCGACAATTGCGAGAGATGGGAGACGAGTTCTTCTTCTCTAGCTTCGATCATTTTAACAAGTTCAAATTAATATATCGACGTTCTTAGTTCGTTCGAAATTTTTCGCTGTTTTAAATTATGCCTGTTCATTTTTTCCATGAATGCATGAAATCCGCAGTCTGTTAATTATTATATGTGTAATAAGAATGTTTAACGATGCTTCTAAATGATTAACGTCTAGTCGTAAAAAACATCGAGAAGGTACAAGCTCTGATGATTCTATTTCAATGAAATTATTATCTTCTTTTTGAGCGCGTTCGAATTGCAGAAAAACTACCCCTCGCACGTTCGATAGAACTACAGTGAATTTTCCCTAATCGACGCTCAAATTGTAGACAAAAATGGACTATTTGGGAAGAAAAGATACGATTACAGTAAATTCTTCCTAATTTACGCTCAGCTCGTACAAAAAAGCGGACAATTCGGGAAGAGAAGATACGATTGCTCGAACTTCGCTCGTTTTTATTGTCAACGACTATAAAAACGCGCCGAGAACCTCGAATAATCGTATAATTATAGCATCAGTTCAAATTCCGTAAAAGAATAGATTAAACATTATTCATCCGTGCAACGTATTCGCATAAACAATGTATGCAACTAACCAAGATTTTGTCGCGATTATGGCATTAAAACGACATTGCGCACGCATCAATTCATCGCACAGGACACGCAGCTGCGATTACAGTAAATTCTCCCTAATTGACGCTCAGATTACACACAAAAATGAACAATTCCGGAAGAGTAGTTACGATTATTCGAGCCCCGCGGCTCGTTTTTATATACTTACCAATTGTCAACGACTAATAAAAACGAGCCGCGAGCCTCGAATAATCGCACCTCCTCCTCCCAAATTGTCAATTTTCATGTCCAAGCTGAGCGTCAATCAGGGAGTACTTTGCTGCGCGTTTCAAAAGACGAAAGAAAAACTGTTCCTAAATCTCGAACGCCGCCCTTCGCCAGCTGTCGGACGAAGCCGCTGTTGTATATTTCTTCAGAAATGTTTAAGAAACGTTTAATTCGTATCGCGAACGTTTTTTGTGAGCCGGCCTAATTATAGGCCGTCGCCCCGACAAAAGGGATCCGGACCGCGTCGACCGGTCACAATAGCTGTCCGCGAGCGTTCGGCCGGTTCCAGGCAGTTGTTACGCCGTTCACCGTCGGTGGGGCGGACAGCATCAGTGACTGTCTCGTGTTTCGAAACCGACGGCAAATAAAACGACGAATGACTCAGCGGCCCGAAACGGTCCGGGGCGGGAATTGTTTAAAATCGCGCGCGTCTGGGCGCGAACAGGACAGACAACAGTTGGTCGCACAACACAACGTTCTATTTCTATTTGCAGATGCGACGGCGACAGTCGGCCAAACAAGGTCATGTTTTACTTGGCGGAGAAGCTAGTCATGCTGGACGGATGCGACGTGGGCCTGTGCGACTGGGAGTACTTCAAGCAGCGATTCAACCCGGTCATCAACAAGTGCAACCTGAACGTCTGCTGGAACGAGAGCGGCGCGGCCGTCTACGTGCCGAACGTTGTCCTGATCCTATTTTCGTGCTTCTATCTAGTCTTCTTCGTTAGAAAAATAGAGAATTAAGTAAACCTCGCGCGTACGTATACAGGAGCGCGTTCGATTATCGTGTTCCGCTCGCGTCTTCGCCGAGCGATTACGTTCAATCGAGCCGCGACGCGCGTTGACTGCCGGGGAAATCGCGAGCCAGAAATCGCCACCGTGACATTCCACTAATTCACGAAATCAACGAAAGAGCAGCTTCTGTCGTGCCGATTCAGATTCGATTAAAGAGAGAGAGGGAGAGAACGGCTTGCGCCGTAAACGAACGTACGAAACGGGAAAATTGTGTCATCCAATTGCCGCGGCAGTCAACGCGCGACGATGCATCATCGAAACCGAACACCATTCTTTCCGACGACGAACAAATTTCTGACGCCTCGCGATTGTTCCGCTGTGCTTTCGATACGCCAAAAATGTATATTTAATATATCCTTTATCGTCCTGTCCCCACGACGACACGAGCCGCGTCCGATAATTTATACACGCATCCCCCCCCCCCCCGATTTTGTCCAACTATCATTTCCCATTTGTTTATACCTCACGATTATATACAAATGTACTCGAGTAAGTTGTATAGTATTTATGCCATTCATCTTCTTCGAGAACGTCCGTCCGAGTCATGGGTAGTTGCACGATTATTATAATATAGGCAGCGCACCGTTGCTACCGCACCGTCGTCGCTTCTTCTTTCTTTCTTTTACTCCTTTCTCTGCGTTCGACCGTTTCGTTGTTTCGAAGAGCTACTACAAATACCATATTATTAATATTATTATTAATATTATTATTGTTATTATTATTATTATTACTATTACTATTATTATTATTATTATTATTATTATTATTATACTTGCAACTACGGGATAACGTATTTCCGTGTACGCTTGACAAATTCCAAGGTCCCCTCGCACACCCGGGGTCCTCCGTATTTCTCGTCCTCTGTTCATGTATGTATGTATTACGTGGCATTTAATTCTCAAATAAACTACTATGGAACACTATCGAACACGTTCGTTAATATTCGATCGTTCGCGGCCTCGATTTCCCTCGCAGCGCGCCTCGAACGCAAACGGAAACATTTTCTTCGACGCAACGCGGGGATGTTTCCCCCGGGGGGTGAATGAATTTTTACCGGCGACATCGACCCTTCGACCCTCCGGCCATCAGAGGAATTACTCGAACGGGAATTTACTCGAGATTAATAATTAATTATATTCAAGAATTTTATTCGAATTCAGTAATAAGACAAAATTGGTCCGACCCGCGGAATTGTTCGACAATTGTGCGAGATGGAACGCCGCGTCCTTGACCTATTTTCGAGCGATTAAAACGAACGAATCCCGGGCCGCAGGGAGCGTTAATGAGTTCAATTAAATGTCACGGAAGCCGCGTGTCGATACGGAATCATTGCACTCATTAAAATTATCATAATTGTCGGCGTAATGCGCCGTCAAGGATCCGCCGCGCGAGAGATTGTGGGCTACGTCCAATGAGATTTGCATTGAATGTGCAAATTACGGGCAAATTGAAGGCGTTGCCAATTAGAATCAATTGGACGGGCCCGCCTGCACGCGGTTTCCAGGTGAAAACCTTTAACGAAAGAATCCTTCGACGCTATTTACAGTAATTCCGATTCGCCGTACGCCGGCCGCGCCGCTGACGTTTCTTAATTAACGCCGGCAGACTCTCGTTGTTGGTTTCGGACGAACGCGAGCGCGTCCGATAAACAAAGGCGTCGAGAGAGAAAACGGCGTCCGAGATGCCAGGGTGAAATACCGGGTGTCCCGAGAATGTCTCGCAATCCGGAAATTGGGGGATTCCTCAGGCGATTTGAAGCAATTTTTTCCTTAGCGAAAATGTTCTACGAGGCTTCGTTCACGAGTTATTAAGGAAAAACGGTGACCAATGAGAGGCGAGATCAGCCGGCGCGATCACTCGTGCGCTCGTCGACTGGACCGCCTCGCGCCAGCCGAGCTCGCCTCCCATTGGTCACCGTATTTCCTTAATAACTCGTGAACGAAGCCTCGGATTGCATTCTCGCTGAGGAAAAAGTTACTTCAAATCACCTCAGGAATCATCTATTTCCAGATTGCGAGACATTTTCGGGACAGTCTGTATAAGCCGGAGATTCGCGGGGTCGTAAAAGCAGCTGGATAATTAAATAACTGTTAAATTAAACGGATAACGTGTTTCACGACGCTTACCACGATTCTGTAATTTCAGAAGATAGCACGGATGATAACTTTCCGAATACTGATTTGGACACGCACAGTAGTCATTGGTTTGCGATGAAATGTACGGCATTTAACGCGCGCGGTTCTGTTGACCGAACTTGTAACGAGGCATTCGACTGAACGACGTTATGCGTTAGCGAATAATGCTGCGGGAACTGCACTGCGAAATGACCAAGTTAAATGTCACACATTCTTGGTGACGGTGGTAATGACGAATGTGCGATCAGTAAAATTAGTATCGGCAAGTTAGTAATCACCTTTCTGTAATTAACAATTTACTCGATGCACCGACGTTTTCGCTTTTAATGTTGTCTTGTTGCATTGCATTTATTTAGATTTTCAGACCATTTCTATTATAATATATGATTGTAGACATAATTATGAATAATTACATAATTACGGACTAATAAAGTAAACAATATGTTTGGTTCTATTAAAATGATGGGATTGTATTTATCTAGACCTTTAGTTCATTTTTATTATAATATATAATTATATCCACAATTATTTACATGTATAATATTATATATAGTTATGATTATTATATAATTATATTATATAATTATGATTATTGCATAATTATATTATATAGTTATGATTATTACATAAATATATTATATAGTTATGGTTATTACATAATTATATTATATTAGTTATGGTTATTACATAATTATATTATATATAGTTATGATTATTATATAATTATATTATATAGTTATGGTTATATATATATATATATATATATATATATATATATTATATAATTATATTTTATATATATATAACTATGAAATAAAATT